CTTCATTTTTTTCTTTAGAAGTGTTAGACATTGTTCTTGTTCCTGGATTATTGAGTATAGTCAGCAATGGTTTGCATGGCTATGATTGGTGCTTTTCATAATCTATCATAATAAGGGGCAACCTGAAAAAACAAAGAGGAAAACGACGGATGCATACTATTTTTGGGAATATGTTGTTATTGGATGCAGAATATGGAAAAGAAATATTACTTTCTTTATTATTGTATGCTCATTGCTCAGCCAACATAGCAAGTTCTTTTCTCGATTCGTAGAATAAAGAAACAGGTAGCATTTAGTAAATTCTATTAACTATTTAATGTGATTGAAAGCAAAACAGCAATGCCTCAACATGTCCCATTTTCCTTTTCCTTTCCCACTGTTGACATATCAAAAAAAAAAGAAAAGAAAGGTATCAAAAACAACAATTTTGAGTTTTAAATTTACAGCAAACGAGGAAACAATGCAGTGCTTGTTAATGCTATTTTCGTTATTTCTTTATTCAATGCTAGTTATTGAATGCACATGACTAGCATAGAAAAAAGGGAGAGTTTGCTACTTGTTAATGAATGCATGGCTACTTCCAAAAATGTGGAAAGAGATTGGAAAGAGATAGAGAGAGAAACATAAATAGAGAGAATCCATATGTGTCAGATTTAATGTTTCTACATTAACGAAGAATCCAATTTCCAGAATTTTTGAACTTGAAGAATCCAGGCAAATCCAGAAGAATCTGTACCTGTACTTGTGTCCATACGTCTTTGACACAGGTACAGGACCTTTCTGAAGAATCGATGTAACATAGACCAAAAGGCAGTTGACCTCTGATACAAACCAAGCTACTGACCATATGCACATACCTCATAGACCAAGGGTTCCGGAATGAGATGAAGCTTAAAAGGTCCTCAAATGGGGTAAAAAAGGGTGGCCGTTTAATCTAGGGTGCCCTTGACCTATCCTCCTAATTTTGGGGCATTCCGACATCATTTGATCCCATTTTCGAAGCAATCCAACCTATACTGATACCGTTCAGACAGCCAGTGCACCAAAAAGAAGTCCGATTAACAAAGCAACTGATATCAGACGATCTCAGATAAAACTTGGTAGGAATTTAATCTAAGCCATCCTAACATCACTCTGAAATATTTGGATCATTTGGGCATTATTGCAGCCATTTTTCTACGAGATTGAGATCAAAATAACCATTCCACCGATGGTTGGTAAATAGGTTATAAACAGCGCACAGGGTGCAGTGAGCCCCGAGTCGGTAAATAGGCTTATAAACAGCATACAGGGTGCAGTGAGCTCCAAGTCAATGCACCATTCCCACCGATGGTGGGTAAATAGGCTTACAAACAGCACAATGGGTGCAGTGAGCCCCGAGTCTTGTTTTGTTGACTTCTCCTAAACCCATGGTGAAATGAGCTGAAATTTATGGGAAATGTTCTTCACACATCCGGGTACAAGCTGAAGGGGTTTATTTCACAATCAAACACCACATTGAAGAAGAAATCAAGGACTGCAATGGGTCTATTGCCTGCATTATGACCGCCATGCCTTTCTCCATCAATTACCCTCAAATTATGGTACCAAACCAGGCACCAACCTAGAATTTCTTAGTCCAGTCATGCAACAAGGACTCGTCGACCGCTGTTGAAGGAAGGGAAAGTGGTTCCTTAACTTACAAAGCCACTACACCACACTATGCAAAGTAGGGCCTTCTTGACTATACAATATTGGAGGAAATTCACATTTCATTAAGAAAATCATCAATTACTCCGAATATTACAGCAATTACAAGTTTATATAGAGTCCAATACAACAACCCTTGCTAGCACAAACCCCAGACAGAAATGACTAGTTTGCCTTCAGAAAAATAGACTGATCATTATACTACCCTTTTTTCTTGATTTCCTGAGCAGTAACTCCCTATGCATGCAATCTAATGGTGTAACCAATTTCCCATGCCCCAAGTTTTCATTCACGGAAGCTAATTTCCCATGCATTGAAACTATATACCATTGAGTTTTTTATTCATGAAAACTCTCACACATCAAATTACTTGTCTATGTACCAAACTCTCCAACCTGTATCTTAATCCTACGCCCAAGAAAGTCCCTTAATGACGAATTACAAAAGAGTTATTAACAAATTCCAAAATGACCAATTGAACAAAAAGTAAGGCCAAACATGCCTCTGGTCCGGCAGGCGTCTAGATGTGATTTGCATCATCGTCCTTGGATTGTGAAAGACTCAATTGCGTCAGGTTGCCGTCACCATGATAGCTGAATAGGTCTCGCATTGGGGAGATATTCCACCCTCTTTGCAACTTCACTTCATAGACATTGTCATTGATTTTCTTCTTGATTTTGCAATGGCCAATCTTCTTTGTGTTGAGCTTACCATTGGTACCAATGGGTATCATTCCGGCCTGAGATATAAAATTACAAGGTCTCCAACTCGTTGATGTCAATTCACGGCATTTCAGTACCTGCCGTAACTTTCCTCCAACTTCTTTAAGACCTTTTTATATAACTCCTTCATGTATGCAGGCATGCTTGCAGCATCTACAGCAACATTCTCACGCATGGGTAAAAGGATTAAATCATGAAAATGCAAAGGTGACATTCCATTGACCAAACTAAAGGGGGGCCTTCCGGTTGATCGATTTAGAAAATTATTATATGCAAATTCAGCTTGTGCAAGCACCAAGTCCCACACCTTCAAGTTTTCTCCAATGAAACTCCTTAGCATATTACCAGCACTCCTATGAACTACTTCAGTTTAACCATCGGTTTGTGGGTGGTAAGCACTATTGAATTACAAATTTTTATCCAGCGGACAGTCATTCGAATTAGTCAAGGCAATTCTCATGGGCCTTTTGATCTAATCAATTTGTCCTTTGACAACCCTCTTTATGATGATCCATATCCCAATGTTGCAAAGAGACCCAAAAGGGAAGACCTACTTTTTGAAGGAGTTTATTTTTAGTTTGTTGTTATTTTTATAGTTTCTTTGTGATTTTCAGTGTTTTAATTAAAGTTGGGGGCGGTTTAGGGACCTTTAATATTTTAATTTGAGTGAAGGAACTTATAGGGTATTTTTATAATATTTTAACTTAAAGTCAGGGTAATTTCAGCCTTTTTTGTTCCAATGTAATAAAAGGTCCTGGGGTGGTTGGGTTTCTACCACTTTTGGTGCGTGAACAGTAACAATAGGGTGCGAACAATAACGCCAGACCCTTTCCAGGGTTTAGGGTCCGCTTTTTTGTGCAAGGAAAGCGAAGTCCGCTCAAAGTGGACTTTTTTTTATGGTTTATTGGCCTATTTTTGCCTCTTTTTTCTATGTTCCTACATCGAATTGGGATTAAAGCCTAGGTTCTGGGAATCTACAACCAAGTCTAGTGTTTGGTGATTTTAAGCTAAGTTTTGCCAAATCAGCCTAGAACTTGCTGGTTTCAGCTAGGTTTTGTTGTTTTTCTGCCTAGGTTTTGTGATTTCAATGAACCTATGGCTGCAAGAAAAGGTTGAGGCAGGGATATTCATATGGATCCACCTCATGATGAGTGGGATTGGGAGATTAAGGATCTGAGTCGAACGAGTTCAATAACTTACAAGGCAGCTTGCAGGCATCGATCGTGGGCGAGATGAAGTTTTATCCATCCAATATGATGTTGAGTACTACCCTTTTTACAATCGTGCTCCATGGGGTGAGTCGAATGAAGAGTTTTGAAATATGATTAGAGGTATAGGCAACACTCAAAATCCGTAGATCTAGAAGTAGACATTCCTGATTTTGAAGGAAAGTTGTAGCACGAGGACTTTATAGACTGGT